CTCCAAGTAGAATGATGGCTGTGGGAGAGAGGAGTGTTCAACCCAATCAATAAGCCCAGCGCAGATAGTATCAACTTTTCAATTAAAATCCACAACATATTTTCATTAAGAATAAAAATATGTCGCGAGAATTAATTGAAAGTTGTTTGCTAATCGCGAGAATTAATTGAAAGTTAATCAAAAACACAAACTCCGCATGATTTATATCTGCAAATCAACCAAAAAAAATAAATTAGTGCCCTTCACACAAGAATTCTGTATAGAAAAATATTTTTACAAATAAAAATATACACATTAACGTAATACTATATATACATACGTAAATTTACAACATATACATATATACATAGTATATAATACGCTTACTTTTTCTTTTTGTTTCTCCAAAAAGTTAAAAATCTTTCCCACATCTTCTTAAAACCGTATTTGTGCATTACAATTTTGAACGGTAAAATGGACAACAATATACACGTTTGTATATTCTAATCATAGTAAGCTAATTACATGCAAGAGTTCCCCTTATTTATAACCACGAAGTTCTCATTAACACCTTTTGGGCTGAGCAACTCACTCCGGATGAGAACTCCACAATCCACATTGCCATATAAGGACAAATGTGGGGCTGTCAACGAGACATCATGTCTTGCCTGACAGCCCACATGCTAGCTGTCAGCACTGCCCCTCTTGGGGCAGTGTACCGAGACAAGATGTCTCGGCTGAGACCGCTGCGTGCTCACCCACCCTGGTGAGCACGCGGACCGGTCCTCACGGGACCCGTCAGCCGAGACAAGACGTCTCGGCTGACTCCGCCACGTGCTCACCCACCCTGGTGAGCACGCGGACCGGTCCTCACGGGACCCGTCAGCCGAGACAAGACGTCTCGGCTGACACCCCACATGGGGCTGTCAGCCGAGACCTCTTGTCTCGGCTGACTCCGCCGCGTGCTCACCCACCCTGGTGAGCACGCGGACCGGTCTCGGCTGACACCGCCGCGTGCTCACCCACCCTGGTGAGCACGCGGACCGGTCTTCACCGGACCCGTCAGCCAAGACAAGACGTCTCGGCTGACTGCCCCATGTGGGCTGTCAGCCGAGACCTCTTGTCTCGGTTGACACCGCCGCGTGCTCATCCACCCTGGTGAGCACACGGACCGGTCCTCATCGAAGTGGACCCGTCAGCCGAGACACGACGTCTCGGCTGACTGCCCCATGTGGGCTGTCAGTCGAGACAAGATGTCTCGGCTGACACCGTCTGGGTGAGACAACCGAGTCATGACTCGGCTGACTGACCCATGAGGCTGAGAGCACGGGATGGCCACAATGGCCATTGAAGTAATACATGAAGTTAAATATATTGTTGTTTCTATGTACATCATAAAAATAATTTTTCTACATAAAGTATCATACTTTAAATACTTGGGTCAGATATCACGTGGTTTGTAAAATTAATAAATATTTTTTTTTAATGAACTATATAATTTTGACTATAAATATCTCCATTTCTCTACACAAGTCGAACTGAGCTTATTATATCCCTTCCTTTGACACAATTCTCTACTACATTCTATCTTCACATCTCTTACAATTATTACATTTTCACTATGATTCCTTTGTTGCAATTTTGGTTTTTAATTTGTTGTTTTAGGTTACCTAAAATTCAAAGTTTTTTTCACCACATGTTGTTCTCGGCTTTGCAATGATATTAACTTTCACTTAATTCTCGCGATTTTTTTCTCAATCCAAGAGTGAGAAATACTGGATTTTCATGCACGGCATCCAGAGGTTGTTATGGAGACAGTTGCAGTAGTAGCGTACTCGGAACGACCACAGTTGGAGGCCGATTCAGACTACTCTTGGTGATGTGTCCCTCGGGTTGCACCTATGGGCTGGGTTGCACCCATCATGTTCATTGTTTTTCCTATGGAAGTGCAAATGGAAAGACTATGAATATGGACAGACTATCAGTCCAAATATATTAACGGTCTACCCCTTTACTCTTGAGTTTTTGATCCATATCGGGATTTCCTGATACTTGAGCTCGTACTCGAAGTCTAGAGGTTCACCGTATAAATTCCTTATTTATTAATGTCAAATATTTTTTCCCTTACATTACTTATCCTTAAAAAATGATGTATCGTGTATTTTGTAAATTTCGGACATGTAAAGTTCAATATAATATTAAAAAAATATATTATTATAAAGTTTTTACTTCTAATATTTTGTATTACGTGAATTATTTACTCACACTCAATACTGTTGAAATATCACAATATCATACACAAAGGTGCATATTCAAATCCGATGTACATGGAGAAATATAACTCGTAAATGTATATTGTGTTTTCATTATTCTAAAACTAACAACATTCAAATTCGTAGTTACTTATGACTCGTCCTCACAAATAAAATTTCACAATGTTTACTTAATTACACATTAGTCTACTCAAAAACAGTATGGATATGTAAGAGTAGACTACCGGATACCAACAAAGGCATTTGCGTAAAAAAACCATTAGAATAATATCCGGCCCGCCATGGACATAAACGCGTTTGGGAAATGCGTTTTTTCGAAAAACGCATTTCCCAAACGCGTTTATGACGCCGGCTAGAACGCCGGCCGGTGGCGTGCCGGCGATGAAGGAATACCATAGCCGCATTTGGAAAATGCGGCTATCGTGTAATATACGAGAGCCGCATTTTCCAAATGCAACTATGTGTAAACGACAACCGCATTTTCCAAATGCGGTTGTCCGTAGCGTATGCAACCCCTCCATCCGAGTTTGGGAAACGCGGGTTTGACCTGAACCGCGTTTCCCAAACTCGGTTTTCCCATTTTTGTCCAAAAAAATTTGACCTTCCATTATTGTCCACAAACACTTTCCAATGCCCATTTCAGTCAAAAACCCTTGTATTAATTAACCGGCCACCACGTACGTTGAGGCCGGACCACATTGCATTGAATGTAGATATGTCTTTCACACTATTTAAGACCTCATTGATAGTGAAGACAATGTAGGACACATGCATTGCAAATTTTGTTCCAAAAACAAATACATATACAACTTAATTGGAATTATATTCTCAGTCATCCATTGCCTTACGAATTAACTCGTCTTATGATTTTACTTTTGTGGATTGTAGGCACATCTTTTACTCCATTCCCAAAGTCAAGGATCGAACTCTTAATCTTTGGTTAAGGATGGATGAGTCCATTTCACTCAACTACATCTCCCAGGTTAGGTTTGTTATTGAATATGAGTGTAATAGGTTTAGCCATGTTTAATTTTATGATAATCAATCTACCAATCTACCATAAGTTAGTTCAAGCTAGAGTTCATGTATGTTATTCTAGCTTGTCTGCACGAGTTTAGTTTACTGGTGTAGTAGGTAGTATTTTGCAGAAGTATGTTATTCAAGCTTGTCATATCATATTTAATATGCTCACCATCAACTGTAAGCCTTGAAAATGAGTGTTTTTACATTTTGCAATTGAGTTTTTATTAGGTTTAATTTGCCTTAATATATAATATGCTTGGGACTCTTTCAATTTGTAGATCAATAGATTGATAAGCAAATTGTATTGTATTGTATGTGGATCTTCAGGTTCAAATTATGTACCTACAATTAACATATTTTATACATTTAGAATCCGTTTGAAAATATATAAAATGACTTTTGGAAAATGTTAACCGATTGTAAATAAATTGAAAATACATATATAATATGGTAAATACAAGTGCGTAATATGTTAACCGCACTAGGTAATTAATTTGTTAACCAAAGTACATAATATGTTAACTACAAGTACTTAATATGAACATGTTATGTTACATGTATAGTGGACCATTGTCCATATATAATAAACCTATTGTAGATTGATTAAACATGGCCCTTTGGTGAAAAAATAGGTCTAACATTTTGTGGTCTGTAAAATGTAATTATGATTGGTTGCACTGAATTGAATACCATTAGCACAAGTGCCAACACAATCAAACATACATATATGGTTGTATCAATTCAAGTACAACTCAACATTGTAGAAATTCTTTACTATCAGATGATTTAAAGTTGGTATAATTTAGTATCTAATTAAGTTTTAAACGTAGTCTAGAAATATTTAATTTATTGATTTGAATCGATTTATGCGTTTGTCATATATAATAAAAGAATTATGCTATTTTTCCAATCTTATTCTTTGATATATAACAAGCAATGATAAGTTATATGAATTCAAGAAAAAAAAAAATTTACATCAGAAAATTGAGTGAGGAAATAAAAGTTTAGAGTTATTGATATTATTTTTCATTAAAAAAAAATAAAATTGATACGATTGATTTGAATTTGATAATGCCCTGGGTAAAGAAAGCTACTAAGGTGATAGCTAGGCAAACTAACGTAACAATTATATTATATTGAAACTAAATGTAAGTATAAAAATGTCCAACCAAACGTATATAACCTTAGGGCAAATTATTATGTGTATCTAGGTCCAAAAATACATAATTTACATACTAAATATTTACAATTTATTTTTAAAAAATTCACAATTTGTGATGAGTGTTGTATTCACAAATTTTCAAAACTTAGGTCATCCCCATTGGTATATTTTGCACAGTTTTTTAAAATAGCATAACTAATAATGTGAAGGAGAGAAGGGAGAAGGAAAAAAATATGAAGTCCTCCTACAAGGGCCCCGCGGCACAGAGGAAGAGGAGGTGCAGTCACACAATTGCGTGTTTCGCGCACAATGGCGCCCAAGTTGGCGTGTCACTGCCTTTGTTTTTACTTTTCCTTGCGTCAAACTTCTGTTTTTTTTTTTTTTTCTTTTCCTTTCTTATCTTTCCCTTCTCTCTCTCCTACTTGACACGTCAAAAACTTCGCTATTTAAAATGCCCTTAAAAACATAATTTATATTTTAGAAGTTCACAATTCTAATACTAAATATACACAATTTAGGACCATGGTTCACCTTTTTCAATGGTATAAGCGTATAACAACTGATAACTTAGCTAGAGGTATAATTTTGCCCAAAGATTTTGGACTTTTTATTGAAGATCATATGAGAGGCTAGTACCAAATAGGGAAATCTAAAAACATGATCTTAGCTTGTGTAATGAAGATGACAGACATTAATTCTAAAGACTTGATAAAATAGAACAATAACAATACCAGTACGTATATTCACCGGCCACTTACACCTCCTTCACCTCCACGGCGGCGGCAACGGCGGCGTTCTCCTTGACCTCCTCCTTGGCTGCATCTTTCTTCTTCTCCTCCTCCCCCGGCAGCTCGAAGGCCGAGGCGGGGAACGTCTTGGCGATGCCGATGGGGTTCTTGAAGTGGATCTTTCCGGTGGGGGGATCGTCCAGGCAAATCTCGCTGATAGTAACCCACAGCATCAGCTCCTTGGCCTTCACTCCGGTCAACTTCTTGATCTTCTTGGGCTCCACGAACGCCGTCACCTCCGCCGCGTACTGCACCAGCTTCCCGATCTGCTCAAACTTGTGCTCCGTCTTCTTCTTGGCTCTAAGCCACACAAACCCAGTGTCCTTCACATACCCACATTCTTCCATGTCTTCCATGGGGAGAAGCCCCGTCGGCATCCCCACTTCGCTCAGCAAGAACTTTGATTTCTCTTGGCAGATGTCATTTCCTTTGTAGAACTCCGTTGCGCTCGCTCTGATCTCATCTGTCACCAGAGACATTTTTCTTTGCTTAGCTTCTTTTGCTTTCACAACTGATAATATTGTAGATGTGTGTTAAGAAGATCAGAGAAGAGTTTGGTGTTTATATATTGGGGGCATATAGTTTTGCCCTCAGTTTCTTCCTTAATTTCGTAAGTACCCCTCATGGAAGAAGTAGTAAAGTGTCTAGGTCACAAATTTGTGAGAGTATAGTATTTTCTTATTGAAAAAAGGATCTATAAAAAATTGAGTAGATAGATGAGTTGTGTTTATTGGTGAATTATTCATTGAATTTCATACAAGTTTTATTGCTAGAGATTTCCATTTTCTTTTTTTAAGCTAAGTCAACAAACTACTGTGAGATAAATTTCATTTCATTTATTGAATACTTTGAATTAATTGTTCCTAAAAGGTTTAATCCCTGACAGAGCATCTAAGAGGATGTAAATTATGGTAACTCAGCCCAATCAAGTATCTAAAAAGATGTAAATTAAGGTAACTTAGCTAAACACAGAGGTTAGATCTTTGCTTATTGCGGAACTATCGCTGTTGAAACATAATCCCGAGTCATTGTTCTAAAACTTCACTTGTGTTACCAATTGAGCTGCCCATAAGAACTAATTAATGGACTTTATCACAAGTTATCATGGGTGTATTGACTACGAATAATTGGAATAAGGGTTAAATAGAATCTTGAAATTTTACAAAAGAGCAAAGTTCTAAATTGATACTCGAACTTGGAGAGAAAAAATCCAATTGGATCCAATTTATTACCTCCTATACCAAGTTACTCTCAAGTCATAATTGATTTGACATCCTATTTTCATGTGTATTTTGATGCCAATTCATCTATGTTTATTAAATAAAATAATAATAATAATAATAATAATAATAATAATAATAATGATGATGATGATGCTAATGATGATGCTAATGACATTGTGGCCAAGTGAAGTGGCTCAGGAGTAAATTTGATAAAGTAAGATTTGAGAGTATATATATAGTAAAACTAATCTTATCGATCCTTATCACATGTGACAACTTTAACAATCGTACGTGCACCACATACTCTCGGATTTTCTTATTAGTACAACTACTAAATTAGGCATACGTCCTTCATGTACAATATTGTGTGACATTGTTAAAATTTTATTCTTTTAAATGTCTAATAAAAAATATTTATAATGAATAGGTTGATTCCTAAGTCGTACTAAAAAAAAAAAAAAAAAAAAAAAAAAGTTGATTCCTAAGTCCTAACAACATCCTTTTTTTTTTTCTTAAATTGAAATTGAAGACCTTATTACAAGATATATTATAAGAAAGTTTTACTGTTTTCATTCTTTTTTAAATAAAATAAGTCAAAAAACTTATAAGGGAAATTATTGAAAACTAATTTAGCAATTACCCATAGCACTTAGTAAATTGTGTTAACAATTAGCTATTAGCTAGTTTGTCCAGCTAATATTCCTGATAACATTAGTTATTTGTGAAAAAAAATGCTAAATAAAATTAGTTTTTAACTTTAGCTGATATATATAAAATAACTTTACCAGGACTATGTGGTCTAATGGTACCCAGATTGGACTTCCATTTGGAAGGTTATGAGTTCGAGCTTCAGTGGAGGTAAAAGTATATGAATAGATACTACAATGTAATAGGGCCAGTAGCATTAAAAAAATAATAACTTTAAAATATTTTCTTCAATGCTTATTTGAGTGACTTTTTTTTTTTTCTCTTGAGCTCTTTCACATTGGAAGTGATCAGTTTTCTGGTTCCTTTACCCTTTTTTTTTTTTTTTTTTTCTCTTAGATATGTTTGCTTGTGGCTTTTAGCTTGCACACTTTGGCTTCAACATATACACAGTAACTTTGGCTAAAGAAGAGTAAGAAGGTCTTATCGTTGACGAGTATGAGTTACAAGTGATTGAAGAGTCTTAAAATTTTATGTGTGTTGAAAAGTAGATAATGAAAAAACCTTTCAAGTTTCATATTCTAAAGGACACTTTGGCCTCTATTTGGCGGTAAGGAGAATGAGATAAGAGTGACAAAAGCAGCTCCAAACTTATTTATTTTTTAGTTCTTCCCTGAGTTAGACATTAAGAAGATTTTAAAAGATAACACTTGGACCTTTAAAGAGACTTTACTAGCTTTGACACAACCTAAGGTGTCATCTTTTGAGGTCGATCTTGCGCAAGTTAAATTTTAGGTTCAAACTCACAATATCCCTTACGGTTTTTGTTGGGAAAGATTGCAAAAGCCAAAGGTTCTTATATTGGGAATCTTATATAGATAAACAAAAATAATTTTGACGATTGTTAGAAAGCCTTTATGACAGTTAAGAGTAGAAATTGACTCCACCAAGCCATTGAAACAAGAATGAAGCTGGAAAAAAAATCTAGTGGTGACTAGAGTTAGACTGTTAGATCGAATTCAAATACGGTAAAGTTTTACAACTTTGATTTGTGTGATTGTTAAAATCGATGTTTTGCTTCTATATAGAGAAATTCTCTACTGAGCCCGTTTACTAACTGAAAATTTTTTCAAGTACGTTTTCTGAAAAATTGGAGATTTGCAGTAGAGAAAACATGTTAACTAGCACAGCTTTCCATTTTGAAAACAAAAAAAAAAAAACAATTTTCCAATTTTTTAGAAAACTGAAAAACTATTAAAAAATATTTTCTAAATGAAAAACAGAATCATCTATAATCTATTTGACTATATGTCATTATAGCCACATTCTCATCATCATTATTTACTTACATATTTATTCATTATTATGATTACATTCATTATCATATTCTTTTACTTATCACCATCTGTTATCTTTTTTTTGCGTGCATTACTTATTTAAACATAATTTATTTGCTTATGCTTAAAGTTAGGCATTATTCACATTATCAAAATTAAAAATTGAACTCTATATATACCAAGTTTTATATTTTGATTGAACTCAATTGATTATTGGTTCGGATATTTTTAGTTATGTTATATCGTAATACAAGTTTAATTTGGTCTGGATATCGAATAATGAAATTTCACGTATATTACTATATTAGAATTCAAAATAAAAAGTATATATTTATATATATGTCATTCAAATGAATATATCAAAATATTTTAAATATTAGCTAAAAAAATATTAATATTATCTAAACTAAATTTTAGGTGAACTTAGAATATATTTTTAGTTATGTTATATACAGATATAAATTTGGTTCGAATATCAAATGTAAAAATCTTACATATATTGGACTAAAATTAAAAATTATATTTATTCTATTTAAACCAAATATATTTTAAATATAAGGTCTTAAAATCACTCAAAAATTAAAATTGTGTTAATTTATAATTTTAATCTATCTAAAAATAAATGTTAGTAAACAATTTTTCTAAACAGAAAGCATAAAATGGAAAAAAAAAAAAAAAAGATAATGAAAACTGAAAAATTAGAAAACAGTTTTCGTTAATAAACATGACCTTAATCTTCCTCGTTTGGCCTTTTTGTTCTTATATTATTACCAAAAGATTGAATTCCCGACCCCAAGGGTCACCCACACCCTGGCTCGACAGAGCATCTGGGATGATGTAAATCATGGTAGCTCAGCTGAACCACAGAAGCTAGACCTTTGTTGAGAGATTATTCTTATATTAGGGATGTAGCAATAATTTTTTCTCATCTAAGGTTTTATTTTGTTAAATGATCTATGAACTGAACTGCTCACTCTCTTGTAAGGCATGCCGTTTGCATGACAGATTATTGTATATTTGTATGGAGATTGTATATATATCCCGTTCATATGAGAATAACTACTCAGGCAACAATCTAAACCATCGATTTACAAGATCCGTTGAATAGAAAATCAAGTAAAATAAGATTGGGGTCCAATTTATATGAGAATCACTCCCCATGTGAGAACGGTAGACAAACCAAACCATCAATCTACAAGATATGATGAATATAAAATCAAGTTAACAAAAGAGTGGATAATTTTCATAAATATTACAAACTTTTAAAATTTATAACCTATTATAAGCTTTAAACTTTGGGTTGAAAAGTCAATTATGAAGCCTTTTTTTTTTTTCTTTTTTTTTTTTTTTTTTTGAGCATGAAAGCTAAAAGGGGCGTCTTTTCTCCCCGTAACGTCATAGGGTCCAAGAAGAATGGGAATTAGATGGATTTGTGAAACAAATATTTAATAAAATGGGTGCAAATTTAAGGCTGAAATGAATTAAGTGTAGAGGTAGTTGGGAGGTGGAACCAACTAACACCAATCCATCGTACGAAATATAGTTGGGTGGTAGACAGTAGACACATTGAAATCTGGTTTTGCTTCAAACAATAATAGTTTAAATAAATTTAAATAAAATCGTTTTATTTAGTATTAAAATAAATAATTAAATAAAATTATATATATATATATATATATATATATATATATATATATATTCTACATTAAATGCGTAAATGGTGACTTCTTTTTTCTTTTCGTTTTAATTTGATTCCATTTTTCAAAATTAGAACAATAAAAGAATAATCAATTTTATAATTACTAAATTATTTGAATCTAATAGTAGATAATAAAAATAGACAAACAAATATAGTAAAAGTATAAAAATCTCTCATCCACCAAACAAAATATAAAACATAATTAATTAGATAAAATAGTTTGAATGGAAAAGACATTATAAATCATTTATCTCACTACTAATATTAAAAAAGTAAAAAATAATAAGTCACAATGTTACAAATAAAAAATTCAATTAGAATTCTCACTGTTAATATTAAAAAATACTAAAAACAAAATTTCACTCATCTCACTATTAAAAAAAAAAAAAAAAACCACAATGTTACAAATGAAAAAAATTCAATTAGAATTCTCACTATTCATATTAAGCAATTTGAAAACAAAATTGAGTGTTGTAAGATTCAAATTGTTTACCATTTCATATTGTATATAAGTAATGGTATTACCATCAAATTAACCTTTAATTTGTTTAAATTTTGGTATATTTAATATATATATATATATATATATATATATATATATATATATATATATATATATATACACTAATAAGAGCCCAAGAG